AGTATTTAGATGTATTGTTTTATAGTATTCCAAAATACTCCTATAGTATTTCAATCTTTATGTTTAGATCTAAAATCTTCTGAACATGTATAGTTGGTAAGTTTTAGACATGTCACAATACTATAATCACTCCCAAACATATGTTGGTCATATCTTGAATTAATATAGTTGATCAGGTTATATTAATCCTAGATATCACTAGCATAATTGTACTTATTAATCACATGTGATTGATATAATGCTAGCATGATTCTACTTGTATCCCCCCCATAAAACATTTAAAAATAGTTTAAAACATTAGTTAAGGGGTATGAACTCACCTGCAGTAAGTGACTGGAGTTGAACAGACTGTTATCGTAAGGAAGGATCGGACAAATGCTTGGTGTCAAGTGAAGACTTAGACACACACAATGATCCTTATTTCATATGAAGACATATGTATATAAATAATTAGTGATTAAAACACTAATTATACAAGTATAAACATTTAAACGTGAGGAAAACACTTTTGGTCAAGTGCTAGGAGGCTAATGGGTTGCAACAAAGGAGTGCAATGCCTCTAATGGAAGTTTATGGTCAAATGACCATATGTCTTGGAGTTTACGGCCCGGGGGAGTAAACTCCTGGCCGTAAACTCTCAACAAAGCCCCTAAATGAAGTCTAACAATTATACAACTCATGTGGTGAATTGTTTCAAGGCTAAATCAAGTGTTTGGGTGCCATATTAACTCCTTTAAGGAGTTTACAGCCATGGGACCATATTCCCTTGGAGTTTACGGCCGTAAACTCCCTTGGGAGGGTGGTTATGGTGTTTTCAAGTCTCAAACATTTCAAGGTAATGTGCTAGGCTAGTCTCTTGGCTAAATGAAGGCGTTTTGGGCATTTTGAGCACTTAAGCATGGAGTTCACGGCCCAAGAACCTCCTTGGCAGTGAACTCTCTTTTACCCTTGAAACTTAATTGTTTTGGTGTCCTAAATATGTAATGAAGGGTTCTAGTTCGAGTTCTAAAGCTTTGAGGGTCATTGGAACCCTTTAGGACCTTAAAATGGAGTTTACTCCCCAAGTGTTCTTAGGCGGTAAACTCCCAAATCTTGGGTTATTAATCCGATTTTGATGTTTTCTAGTCATATACACACTAGCATACAAGTCTAAGGTTGTTACAATTCACGGGGAAAGGACTAGGTAGCATTTAAGCCACTTATTGGAGTTTACTCCCCAAGAACGTTCTTGGGTGGTAAACTCCCGAGTCTCACAGATTTGATATGTAATTGATGTTTCTAAACACAATCTAAGCTATATAACATAACTAGATCGAAGTACTCACAATTTGGGATAAAAACCCGAAGATCCGTGAGAGAGAATTTTGACTTTTCTCTAAATGGAATTCAACAAATGAACCAATTTGGTTCAGAATTCTATTTATAGTCCTGAGATATTTTTGGTAGAAAATATTTTTATTCCTGGAACGAACTCTAATGTCCTAGAGTCTTGGAATAACAGTGTTGCACAAAACCCTAGTGCATCCACTCTCCTAATATCTCCTTAAGCGTAAAATCCTGAAAACTGCCAAACTTATACTCGAAATCTGAATTTTCACTGTAACTGCTCTACTTCTATTGGCTTGATATGGTTTGTTCAGAATGGAAATTTCGGGTTGTCACAATTACTATGCATGCAAACTATTAAATACAATCAAAACCAATTTACTTGTAATGTAAGATGATAATGTACATGAAGATGATCAGAGAACAGGAAACAATCATCACAATAACAGTAAATTAAATAAAAATAAATTTTAGATGAGTGACAACCTGTATCGCCAAAGTTAGTGCACAAATGTATAATGAACAAAGATTCCGATCAATTTGCCGCCGGAGATGATGATTATAGAAAATGTAAATCATATTTCTAATCAGTAAACTTACCCTAATATGCAGCCTAAACGTGTGTTGGTTGGAGGGAAAGGAATTGTGAAATATTTTGAAGCTCTGCTAATGAAAAATTCGAACTGTGCTAATTACCGCTAAAAATTTAGTGATTCAAATTTATTAAAGTAGTTCTAGATTGATAGATAGGCTATATACATCTAGCTAACGTCAAGAAAGAACATAGACTAACGAGGTGTTCAAAGTATAATTTTAATTTAAAATTATAAACGAGGATTAAACATTAATAAACTATACAACTTTATGCTTTTATATTTAAACCAAAATTTATATATAAAAGACATATGGGTCATGCCAATATATATGGTAGTTGCTTATGGTGTCATGGTATCACCCATGGATGACATATGGGTCATTGGTCAACATGGTAGTTTTTTATGGTGTCCATGGATGACATACGAGTCATTAGTCAACACAGTAGTTGCTTATGGTGTCCATGGTATACCTATGGATGACATATGGGTCATTGGTCAACATGGTAGTTGCTAATGGTGTCTATGGATGACATACGGGTCATTGGTCAACATGGTAGTTGCTTATGGTGTCCATGGATGACATACGGGTCATTGGTCAACATGGTAGTTTCTTATGGTGTGATGGTATCACCCATGGATGACATACGAGTCATTGGTCAACATCATAGTTGCTTATGGTGTCCATGGATGACATACGAGTCATTGGTCAACATGGTAGTAGCTTATGGTGTGATGGTATCACCTTGGATGACATACGGGTCATTGGTCAACATGACAATTGCTTATGGTGTCCATGGATGACATATGGGTCATTAGACAACATGGTAGTTGCTTATGGTGTCCATGGGTGACATATGGGTCATTGGTCAACATCGTAGTTACTTATGGTGTGCATGGATGACATACGGGTCATTGGTCAACATGGTAGTTGCTTATGGTGTCCAAGGATGACATACGGGTCATTGGTCAACATGGTAGTTACTTATGGTGTAATGGTATCACCCATGGATGAAATACGAATCATTGGTTAACATGGTAGTTGCTTATGGTAACCATGTATGACATACAGGTCATTGGGCAACAAGGTAGTTGCTTATGGTGTGATGGTATCACCCATGGATGACATACGAGTCATTGTTATACATGGTAGTTGCTTATAGTGTTTATGGATGACATATGCGTCATTAGTCAACATGGTAGTTGCTTATGGTGTCCATGTTATACCCATGGATGACATATGGGTCATTAGTCAACATGGTAGTTTCTTATGGTTTCCATGGATGACATATGGGTCATTGGTCAACATGGTAGTTGCTTATGGTGTCCATGGATGACATATGGGTCATTAGTCAACATAGTTGTTGCTTATGGTGTCCATGGTATACCCATGGATGAAATATGGGTCATTGGTCAACATGGTAGTTGCTTATGGTGTCCATGGTATACCCATGGATGACATATGGGTCATTAGTCAACATGGTAGTTGCTTATGGTGTCCATGGATGACATATGGGTCATTAGTCAACATGGTAGTTGCTTATGGTGTCCATGGATGACATACGGGTCACTAGTCAACACGGTAGTTGCTTATGGTGTCCATGGTATACCCATGGATGAGATATGGGTCATTGGTCAACATGGTAGTTGCTTATGGTGTCCATGGATGGCATATGGGTCATTGGTCAACATGGTAGTTGCTTATGGTGTCAATGGTATACCCATGGATGACATATGGATCATTGGTCAACATGGTAGTTGCGTATAGTGTCCATGGATGACATATGGGTCATTGGTCAACATGGTAGTTGGTTACGGTGTCCTAAATGACAGACGGGTCATTGTTCAACACGGTAGTTGCTTATGGTGTCCATAGTATACCTGTGGATGACATATAGGTCATTGTATAACGTCGTAGTTTCTGATGGTGTCCATTGTATACCCATGGATGAGATATTGGTCATTGTTCAACATGGGAGTTGCTTATGGTGTCCATGCATGACATATGGGTTATTGGTCAACATGGTAGTTGCTTATGGTGTCCATGGATGACATACAGGTAATTGGTCAACATGGTAGTTGCTTATGGTGTCCATGGATGACATACAGGTCGTTGGTCAACATGGTAGTTGCGTATGGTGTGATGGTATCACCCATGGATGACATATGGGTCATTGGGCAACATGATAGTTGCTTATGGTGTCCATGGATGACATACGAGTCATTGGTCAACATGGTAGTTGCTTATCGTGTGATGGTATCACCCACGGATGACATACGGGTCATTGGTCAACATGGTAGTTGCTTATGGTGTCCATGGATGGCATATGGGTCATTGGTCAACATGGTAGTTTCTTATGGTGTCCATGGTATACCCATAGATGACATATGGGTCATTGGTCAACATTGTAGTTGCTTATGGTGTCCATGGATGACATATGGGTGATTGGTCAGCATGGTAGTTGTATGTCATTGGTCAACATGGTAGTTGCTTATGGTGTCCATGGATGACATACGTGTCATTGGTCAACATGGTAGTTGCTTATGGTGTCATGGTATCACCCATAGATGACATATGGGCTGCTATATTAATGAACATAATATTATGGGTATTCAATTTGAAGAAATGGAAGTTACTTTAGTTTAGCTGGAAAACACGTCTTACGTCTTACCTGAAATCTCAGGTTCGAATCCTACTTATGTCAATAATTTTATTTTAATTCGTCTTTCTAAATATAAAAATTAATTTTATTTAACTTTATCTTTTTAAATTTAAACTGTCAGTTTATTTACAAAAATTCTTGTAGGTATTTATAAAAATACCCTAACCATTTACGTAGTAACATTTGTACGTTTAAGGTCAATTATGTCAATTCATAGTCTAAACACTTAGGCGCCATAATTTGGAGTCAGAGTCATCCCGTCGTTTCAGTTTATCGGCAATAGATCAACTACAATCCATTCCCAACCATCAAACTTCCGGCACGTTGATCAATAAAACCTAAAATTGTTTTTGTTACATATTTTGAATTACAATCGAAGCAGTTCAACAAAATGGCAGCAAGTTTATCGTCATAAAGAATGCGAGCAAGACAACCAGGAACAAGGATCACTGCTTTGCCATCACACTTGATCGGAAAAATAGTAACTATGGTTGGGGGTAAATCACAAATCGATGCTTTTAAGTTCCAGTTAGTGTAAGTACGATGTGCATTACTTCTATTGTACTTGTATACATACTTAATTTAGTGTTTAATAGATGAATTTTGTTGATTTGTGAATATAGTTGCAAACTCTTTAGGGATTTTGTATCATCATAGGCAATATGTAAAACCATAGACACAAATCGATTTAGGTTTCGTCCATTAAGTGTTCATATGTATGAAGTGAAAAGCAAATGCAGAAAATTGAACAACCCACATGTACTCTTCAACGATGGAATGGTACTCTTTTTTTAAGCATACGGATAATTACGAATTCAATTAGTTTTCTATATTTGTATTTTTAAAATTGTATGATTACTTATTGTATGTCAGGCGAAATATTTTACGATATGGGAAGAAATAGCAGGGAAACAGTTGCTTCGAGATGCAGCTGATCAGGGGAAGTTGGATGCGATCTTCATTCTGGGAATGATGTTGATGGCCGAAGGCATTGAAAGGAAGCAAGAAGCTCTGATCATGTTAAATAATGCCTATGTTAATATTAGAAGAAGTTGGAATCTAAGACATTCTGTAACAAGGTTCAAAACCACTTGTTATGGAGAACAAAGAAGATAAAATTTCATGGCTTACACAGAAGTTGTGCAAAGCATCCTTCTGTGAGCAGTTATGTAACAACTTTTATGTATAAATACAGTTGGTTGCTGAATTCGGATATTTGTTTGTGGGATGCATGTTTGGTTAAGTTTGCAAGGATGTTTGGCATTAGTTTCGAGTAGTTATATATATATATATATATATATATATATATATATATATATATATATATATATATATATATATATATATATGATTGTTGTTTGATTCACACATTTAGTGATGCATATTGTATTTGTATTTTGGTGTAATGGGAATACATACTTTTAATTTTATTAAATGTTAATATGTATATGTTATTTTTGATATATATATGTTATTTTTGTCTTTTTCATTTTACTAACCAAAAGTCCACCGTGACTTATAATAGGTTATAATGTTTGAATAATGTGTTTTTGACTGAAATACCCTTAGTAATCACATATTTGGATTGATTTCAAGGGCACGTTGGTCTATTTGCATTCTTTAAAGTGAAGGCGCCATTTTTGCTATGGAAATAAAAATAAGTATTTAATCAAGTCGTTATTAACGAAAATACTGTATATAGAATTTATATTTTAAGTAGCTTCATATCTATATTTATTATGAATGCTACTTAAATTTATAATTACCCGTATACTACATGGGTTTTAACCTGGTATTGAATAATATCGACCCAATAATTTGACCTAGTATCCATCCAACACATCGAAATCAAGGGTTGTCGAAGGTTCCCTAATTGATACACACTTTGTTTGAATATGTGTTCTGTAAGTGCCGATCTCAATTAAACCATTCTACAAATATTCTAAGCCATTATCCAATCATAAAAGTTATTCAACAATTCAAATTATAAAACATTGAAGATTGGTTCAGCATTCGGTCATTAGCTTTGTGAAACGAGTCGTTATTAAGGTACCTTTGCAATGTTTGTATGGTAACTATATATTTACTTTAAATGTCATATATGAATTCAAATCAACATCAATGAAGATACAATATTGTGTTATTTAAATTTATACTTTACATATTTAAGACAATGAACAATCCAAGTAGAAAGTGGATGTATGAAAGAAAAGATAATCGTAGTTGTGTATCGCTTGTTTTCGTACAAGGAGTGAAATTTTTTATAGATTTTGCTACCAGTCAACATAGGTTCATGGACGAAGATAAAATCAAATGCCCATGAATCAAATGTCGTAACATACCATATAGAGAAGTTGATACTGTTAAGCATCATTTGTACAAGTTTGGTTTTGTTGAGGAATATTGGTTTTGGGATAAACATGGCGAAACATCAATTGATAAAGACAATACGTTTTTAGGGGTGGATGATTCAAACACAAATTTTAGTGAAGGTGCATGTTCTTATAGAGAAATGGTCATAGATGCAATGACTCCTGATTTAAATAATAGGAATCCTGAAGAGAAGCCAAAAGCACTAGATAAAAAATTATTTGATATGCTAGATGCAGTCGATAAAGAATTGTGGTCTGGATGTAAAAAAGTGACACAACTATCTGCTGTAGCTAGAATATTGAATATAAATTCAGAGTATCGCATACCTGAGCAAAGTTATGATGCTATCTGCCAGTTGATAAATGACGTGTTACTAGAGGAGAATAATATGGTAGGTAGTTTATACGACAACAAAAAGTTAATACAATCACTAGGTTTGCCTATGGAGATGATTGAATGATGCAGGTCAGGATGTATGATATATTGGAGGCAAGACAAAGATCTTTATCGGTGCAAATTCTGCAATGCAGATAGGTACAAACGTAAAATTTTTTGGCCAGATGGTATCGCGTATCCTTTAAGAAAATGCATTACTTTCCTTTGACTCCAAGGTTGAAGAGACTGTATGCTTCACAAGCCACATCCGCTTCCATGAGATGGCACTCCGAGAATTATGGACATGATGCTGGAATAATGTGTCATCCATCCGATTCAGAAGCTTGGAAGCACTTTGACAAAAGTCATCCTTCATTTGCAGCAGAAGTACGTAATGTAAGATTAGGCCTATGTACAGATGGGTTTTTACCACATGGAGCATTTGGAAAACAATATTCATCTTGGCCTATTATTATAACACCTTATAATTTTCCACCTTCTATGTGAATGAAATACCCTTACATGTTTTTGACCGCACTTGTGCGTGGACCGTCAAACCCTAAGCATAAAATAAATGTATTTTTGCAACCAGTTGTTGCAAAGCTGGAGCAGTTATGGGAAGAAGGCCTAGTAACATATGATATATCTTTAAAACAAAATTTCCGTTTAAGACCAACTTTGATGTGGACAATAAGCAATTTCTTAGCATATGTAATTGTTGGATTAGTGTCTAAGTCCATAACTATTTTGGTATGTACTTGACCCGATGGTGCATGGTCCTTTTGAGTTGCCTTCACCAAAGCAACTGTATAGGATGAATTATGGAGAGAAAGGATTAAATATGATTTATTAATATATTATGGGAATAATATATTAAAGGTGAAATCATATTGTTTAATTAATGTTAGTCAACAATTAATTAGTAATTAGTTTTGTGACTAAAAGAGATTAATTAAACTTAAGGGACTGGAATTGTAATTATAAGATAATTGCAATTTGGGCCATGGATTGCCTTATATTATAAGGTGGACGAATTCTATGGTGGAAGCCCATATGAAATCGTCCAAGGCCTTGAGGAAAGGGCTCCATGGGTTGCTTAGGGCTTAAGCATCCAAATTAGGGTTTCCTTGTTAGATAACCCTAATTGCCTCCTATATAAAGAGATCCCTTATGACCAAAAACGTGGCTACGACTCCTCTAGGGTTTGTAGACGCATTTGGGCAGCCTCCGTCCTCTCTCCTCTTCATCCTCTTGCTTATGGTGTTTGTGAACCATTAGAGGAGTGACAATTGTGACTCTATGCTTTCTAAAGTCAATACAAGGAGATTTGGGATTGTTATTGCTACATAACAATCAAGGTAATATCTTAAACCCATTAATATGTTAATATGATTACTTGAATGCTAGAATTAGGGTTTATAGTCTTGGATAACTTGCATGTACAATAGAGAAACCTAGATCCAAGCATTAGGGTTTGTATGAGCACATAGGATGTTCTTAGGACCAAAACCCATCAGTGGTATCAGAGCCTAGACTGGTTTCTATTGTATTGATGCTTGATATGTTTAAAAAAATTCGATTTTTTGGTTTCTGGAGGCTGGACTCGCCGAGTCCATAGCTGAACTCGCCGAGTCCATAGCTGAACTCGCCGAGTCCATAGCTGAACTCGCCGAGTCCATGCAGACTCGACGAGTCCAAGCTTGACTCGACGAGTCAACTTGTCAGATGGAGCATATTTCGCGATTTCTTGCTGTTTTTGCTTCGGGATAGTTACATTATCATATTAGATCAATATAAATCCGATTTTATGATATATTTGACTATATTCTTGATCTAATTGAAGATATTTATCAATTAATAAAATATTTGTTTCCTTATATGATAATTGATTAATTATTTTGATTAAATAGGTAAATTGTTTTGCAAGAAATCATTAAATAAATCAAATATGGATAATTATGTGATTAAATGTTAATTTAGATTATTTGTTATTTGATCCTTGTGCTTTGAAAAGTATCATATTTTCCCCTTTAGGTTTTATAGTTTAAATTTGAACCCAAAAGTTTTGTTGTTTTGAAATTTAAATAGTTAAAACCCTAATGTTTTGAAAAAGGTTTCAAAACTTGCCCTCAAGTTTTGGAATTTAAATTTTGATTAATAGTTTAATTTTGATGTATATTTAAATTCTAAACCCTAATGTTTTGAAATGTTTCAAAACTTGCCCTCAAGTTTTGGAATTTAAAAGTTGATTAAAAGTTTAATTAGGAATGTTAAATTCTAAAACCCTAGTAATGTTTTGAAAAGGTTCAAATCACACCCTTATGGTTTTATTAATTAATTAAGGGGTATAATTAAAAGAGGTTTAATAAATCCATAAAGTTTTTGGTTTACAATTTAATTGAATTAAAAGTATAATTGTTAAATTTGACCACTTAATATTTTAAAAGTGTAAAATACACCCTATACTATATATAACATTAAAAGTCTAACATTATATATATGTATGAGTAAAAGTCAGTCTTACCGTTAGTAGGCCTCATTCACGAATCTGGTCTATAAGGGGTGTTTAAGGAAATTACCTATAAAATGGCGATTGAATGGGTATCCACTCTTACCCACCGCACTCTTGACTAGCGGAGGGTTGTTAGCCAAACGGGTAGGATAGGATGAAACCTTCCATTATAAGTATAATGAATTACTAAAGTAACTAAATGTTTTCATAAAAATTCCCAATCTTAGTTACTTAGGAAAAAGTGAATTGATGCAATTCCATGAAATTACACTTTGTGCCCTTGCGAAGACGTTAGTGGAGCGTGTATGGTTTACCGGCACACTAAATGGTTTTAAGCAAAGGTAGCAAAGGGTGACTTAATGTTTGTAATAGTTCGGTGGAGCGTGTGTGGTTTACCGGCACATCGAATAGGTGACTGTAACATGTGAGGGCACCATGTAGTTTGATGGTTATTCACACCCGCTTTGTAATCCTCGGCATCCCAGTCACAAACAAGAGGGGCATATCAAGATTTAAACATGCCATTGAAATGTTCAATGAATCTCAAAGGATCTAGGAGTTTTCAAAGATTTAAAACCTAAATTTCTTTTTCGTTTTTCCTGGTGGAAATTAGTGAATCGTCATTCACTTACCTTCAAATGTTCTACAATTTGGGTTACGACATCCCTCTCCCGAGTTGTAGAATATTGTGTTGGGTCCTAACCTTAGTATCTTATTTGGGTAATTTACTAAGGACTCAATCAATCAACTAACTTGAATTCGTTTTTCTCCCGTTTTGTAGATGTCAAAGTTCGACAACTATGGTCTTCCCAAACCCCGTGGAACAAGCATTCCACATGAAGATGATATTCCACGA